CGGTTCTGGTTCTCCTACGGGCTGCGAGTAGGTACCCTAAGCAGGATTTTTGTTATTTTTTTATTTCTGTGTGTGTGTGTGCGCGAGGGGGCTAGTTTGAACGAAGGACTCACAAAGCTACATCCTCCCCCCAAAACTTCGCCCTAAATGGCCTTTGTCACGCACTGTGGCTTCCCTGGGACTTCCCACTCCCAGTCCCAGCACGAAAAAAAAAAACGGACATTCCACAGAAACTGTACATAAAAAGAGATTGACCTCGTTTCCTACAGCTCCGCAAAAATCTTTATTTTTTCCGTTCAAAAAAAAAAAAAAAAAAAGCAAATTTTATTTTTGTCATTTCATTAAAAAAAGGCGTGTGCCGGGGGGGGGGGGGGGGGTCCCGTGGACAAATTGTAACGGTTACAAGTAATTTTATTACTTCAAAAAGTAATCAGATTACTCTTGTGATTACTGCCTAATAAAAGTAATCAAATGATTACAAAATTACTCCAAAAGGTAATCGATTACAAGTAATTTGATTACTTGTAATGCGTACGGTACAAGTCTGGTAACTAGATATGTCAACTTATCTACATAATTTATTGCCTTGAGTTCAACTCTGCCCAAGTATAAAGAAGAAACTACGTGTGATGATAACTATGAGGGGCTTAATGTTTCACGAGCAACTCAAGCCAAAAAAGGGAAAGTTACGTCAGGAAAAAAAATTGAAAAATTAAATAGCCAAAGTTTGCTAAAAAAAGAATATCAAACAAAAGGAAACGAAACTAGAGGTTGACCTCCAAGCATGCGGGTTAAATAAAATGGAAGGCCATACTTGAGAACCACTTTTCTTTCGGAAGTGTTTATCCAATACCAACGCGCTCAACTCAAAACAGCATAACGAAGAAGTTAAAAAAAAAAAAAAAACATTCTCATTGCTTTTTATTTGAAGCTCTGCAGGACCTCAAATGCGAGAGCGGTTAAATAGTCACACTATGCTTCAAAACTAAAACGCCCCTACCACAAAGCAAATATTGATGGGTTAAACTTGAGTGCTCAGTTCTCGTGAGGCACATCAATACTTTATGGGAACCATACTACGCATGGTCTTCCGGGAATACATTTTTTAACATAAGGAGTACGCATCCTATGATCGCTCTAAAGGTAACGCCCTCCATCTCGACCTAAACGTGGGAGAAAGTTCGGATACATAGATTTTGCCTCCTGAAGCGCCGAGATGGGGAACTTCTTTCTTTGTCAAAGGAGCAAGCGAAAAAAAATAGAGTTGATGGCCAGCATGCTTACAAAGCTGTTTACTTAATTTATTTCACGCTCCCGGGATTATGCAAGTAAAAGATTACTGAACAGGAAACAACGATGTATATATATAAAATAAATAATCGGCGAAGTCACAGATATATTTTGTCAGTTCATCGAGATAGTCTGCACTGTTTATTTTATGGTTTACTACTTGGGGACCCGCTCGTAAAATCCCCTTCAACATGGCGAGATATATTTCCTTTTCTCTCTGAACCCCTCAACGGCAGATTTAAAAACTTGCTTTTAAATGAACTTCAAAAGCGCAAAATAAAGGAAAGACATTGGTGTTCTGAAGAAACTTCATAAAAAGTCTTGGAATGTGTCGGGTATGCGGGGGGGGGGGGGGGGGGGGTACTTTTCCTTTTCACCGAAAAAAAAATGATTAACGAATCGCCGAACGCTCAGTTTCCTCCCAAATTCACCAAAGTTCCACAACTTAACATTGTCATATTTCAAAGTTATGAACGCTTTTGGGAAATTTTGTATGATGAAATGGCAGAGATGAATGGCGTTTGCTACTAGAACCTACCTAAGTTTGTCATTCAAAAATATCGAAAATTGTCTATAAATTTTGAATCAAATAATGAAAAAAATTGTCAAAACTTCGGCATGGAAACCCAACCGCAAGAGCTATACTTTTGAAAGGAGGAAAGTCCCCACCTTCTTCCCAGTTCTAATTTCTAGTGCAACTAAAATTCGCTAAAAGAGAAGCAGCGGCATTCATACTCAACGGTCCACACAAAACTGCACAAGCTACATCGTCGTGTTGCGCGATTCTCATTTGCTTGTGCTGCACGCGTACATTAGCCAGAAGTTAAGAATCATACGCACCATCTTATATCACGTCGTTAAACCAACCAGAAGTCGACAGAAATTGAGTAACCTGCTTGCCCTTCGAGTATTGCCGACTCCAGCGAAATCGACGCCGCGTAGCGACAACGTTGAGAAGCTCAGGAGGGGAGGTCGTTTCGACGCTGTCGTCTGCTATCGCTGCTCGGTTCTCGTAGGCAGTATAGAAACAAACCTTGTTTCCAGTCAATATTTTTATGCTTCCGCCGTGTCATTCGTAAGCACTGACTACAAGAAGGTTTATACCATCAAAAAATTCCTTTGCTTTCATATGTCACACCAATTTTACGATGCAGTGCAAGAAATTTATGGTGGTCCGCCTGCTGAACGACGAAAACGACCTCCTTTTGTCTGGCTTTTTGCCTCACCAGCGCGCCCTCTATAGTTCGTGGGAGTCGCGAATTTCTGCCGCAAATATGACGTCACAAAAAAAGAGCATAGGGGTGTGGCAGCGAAGGAAAAGGCAGAAGCTGCTGATCTACTTGTGTCAAATGATATTTAGAGCTTGCGTTCCAGCATAAAACAAAGCCAATAGTTAGCCTGCTCACGGAGTGACAGATACCCTAGAACTACGTGACATCTCCACTAAGATCATGATTTGATCGTTATCCGCCGTCAGACGGTAAGGTCGTAAAGAGCAAGAAAAACCCACATGTAGCGATAAAAGAAAGCTACCCTGGGAAGATCATGATGTTTCGTTTACTGCCTAGGAAGGTACATTACATCCTCTGGTTTGAGTAGTCTCAGGGCGTCGGAGCACTCCGACTAAAGCGAGCGATTCGGATATTTATGGGCCAACAATTTTTGACATTTACGCGCCGGGATAATGGCGGAAAGCGACCTCCGGCAGCGATCACTAGTAAAACGAAAGGCACGAATCTTGCTTCGGTCGAACGTCTGGTCTTGGATCACGCCCCAGCGTCTGTAAACCTGGTATATTAGTTTGAATCGAGGGCGAGGGATCACTAGCACAAGTGGCAGTAGACGCAGTCAAGATGTGGATCAGGCTCCTGCTCTTGGCCGCGGCCGCTGCGGTAAGCAATGTTGTTTCCCCAATCGAAGTACCCTATTAAGGATTCTGGATCATTGTTCTGGATGTACAGCATCATAACGACTATAGTTTATTGGTAAACGTATAACACGTTAAATTCATGTACAATGTGCCCCCTCCCCCCCTCCCCCCCCCCCGCAAAAAAAAACAACCTTAAGTGTTCCTTTTTTGTTTTTTTACCGCAAAAATAAATTACGTATTTTTAAACGCTCATTTTCCACCCATATGAAGCGCTATAGCGATCCGAACCAGACGCCAAAGTTTTTGAACTAACCATCATCTCATTGAAAAGCTCTAAGTGAATATCTAGACATTTTATAGAAACAATGGTGTCTATTCTCTGTAACTGTCGCAATTCAGCTCTATGTGTACGAGGTCCCTGTGAGTCGCCACTTTCCCATTGAAATAAAAAAAAATTCATTTTCTATGACTATTGTTGAAAACTTTCCTTGCCTCGTCAAAAAAATAAACATTTAGCACAGGACGTGGCTTAATATAAATATATTGTGAGGATGGTCATGAACAATCCCCACCGAATCACCACTTACCGATGCTCATCATGATCGTCACCACTGTTCTCTATTATTTTTAGAATTATTTCCCTATGGTCAATTAAATTTGGCACGTTTCCTTTTACATTTTTCCGTGAGCGGTCGTTTGTTAAAACAGCTGCATCTCATTACTAATTATAATTTCCAAGGTGGCATGAAGGTGACACCTCGACATGAAGATGTTTGGTTGTAAGCTTGTTTCAAGTTGATAAGAAGTTAGGTTCTAATTATGCTTTGTTGCATCAAGGTCTCCGATACAAAATGTAGGCCATAATAATTTTTCTTCTGAGCTTTAACTATAAAGATTATGAAAGCCGAAGTACTATTCGAACAGTCTAAATATATAGACAAAGGTTTTGTGGATTCTTCTTTTTAGCAGTGTTTCAATTCACAATCGTCAATTCATGCTAGCTCCTTCCCCGCAGAATACCAAACAAACAGTGAGTCATATACTTAGGTACCTTACAACACACTTAACAAGGCTGTGGTGACATAAATTTAAGAGGACATTGTGAATTGTACATCATTTGATCGACACAATCGCTGTAAGTAAATTATGTTCGAAAGAACGCGCCACTCATAGCAATCATCAAGTTTCCCACTGAATACAAAAGATGCACTTTCCCGGGCTGATTTTATACAGCGAGAAATACTCCAACTGAATGTTTGCCGTTTCTTCATGCTTTACTATAACACGAGCGAGCATAGGCATTCCGACGAATTAGGAGTCATATTAAAATAAGATATCATATCATATTGACCCACATTTGTTATTCTATTTCAGCACATCACATGTTTCTCAGTCGAAGGTAAGCGCGAACTATCCACTCACTTATAAAACAAACTGTGGACAAGATAGCCGCAATTGTCCAAATCCTATAAAAAATACATCTTGATATTAACGCGTTCGAGATGAGTTGCTCTGTTCAGTATGTCAAGCGCATCGGACAATGCGAGTTAGAATATGTAAGCAGTCTTTTTTTATTGTTGTTTATTTTCTATATTCCACAGCGGCCGTGGGGGCTTGATTGTGGGGGAGGCATAAAAAGTACATGACACAGGCACATAGGAAAGGTGCACTGCCTGCAGTAGCCAGCGCATAAAAAGAGCGCAGATAGGGACACTTCAGCTCTTGATTATACAATTTCTTTTTTAAACGTAGCCTTTCTACACTGCCTTTAATAGTGAACAGAAAGGTTTTTTATGTTAAATTGCTTGCTTAAGGGATAAGCCTATGTTGCCACTTTAGTATGACTAAACCTAGAAACAAACGTCGGAGTTACAAAACACGAGTTACTCACCGCAGAACCTTGTCTCACATTTCAGATGCCAGGTCAGGTAACCAATCGGCAAGAGCAGAGGAAGCGAGGCTAGAACTGCAGCAGGTCAAGGGATCAGTAAAAGGCGCTTTTCTGCAGCAAGCTTACCAGCAGCAGTCAAAAGGTGCCGTGAAAGGTGCCTTGAAAGGAGCGCTTGTCCAACAGGCGGCCTCCCAACAGGCCAAAGGTGCCATCAAAGGAGCCCTCAAGGGCGCACTGGTTCAGCAGGCGGCTTCTCAACAAGCCAAAGGTGCCATAAAGGGTGCACTTAAGGGCGCTCTCGTTCAACAGGCAGCATCTCAGCAGGCGAAGGGTGCCGTCAAGGGAGCTCTTAAAGGAGCACTGGTTCAGCAGGCGGCATCTCAACAAGCAAAGGGTGCCATAAAGGGTGCACTTAAGGGCGCTCTTGTTCAACAGGCAGCATCCCAGCAGGCGAAGGGTGCCATCAAGGGAGCTCTTAAGGGAGCACTGGTCCAGCAGGCGGCATCTCAACAAGCCAAGGGTGCCATAAAGGGGGCACTTAAGGGCGCTTTGGTTCAACAGGCAGCATCTCAGCAGGCGAAGGGTGCCATAAAGGGAGCCCTTAAAGGAGCACTGGTTCAGCAGGCCGCTTCTCAACAAGCAAAGGGTGCAGTGAAAGGTGCACTTAAGGGAGCACTAGTCCAACAGGCAGCATCTCAGCAGGCGAAGGGTGCCATCAAGGGAGCCCTTAAGGGAGCACTCGTTCAGCAGGCGGCATCTCAACAAGCCAAGGGTGCAGTGAAAGGTGCTCTTAAGGGAGCACTTGTCCAGCAGGCAGCATCCCAGCAGGCTAAAGGTGCAATCAAAGGAGCCCTAAAGGGAGCACTGGTTCAGCAGGCCGCTTCTCAACAAGCAAAGGGTGCAGTGAAAGGTGCACTTAAGGGAGCACTAGTCCAACAGGCAGCATCTCAGCAGGCGAAGGGTGCTATCAAGGGAGCCCTTAAGGGAGCACTCGTTCAGCAGGCGGCATCTCAACAAGCCAAGGGTGCAGTGAAAGGTGCTCTTAAGGGAGCACTTGTCCAGCAGGCAGCATCCCAGCAGGCTAAAGGTGCAATCAAAGGAGCCCTCAAGGGAGCACTGGTTCAGCAGGCGGCATCTCAACAAGCCAAAGGTGCAGTAAAGGGCGCACTAAAGGGCGCTCTTGTCCAACAGGCAGCCTCTCAGCAGGCGAAGGGTGCCATCAAGGGAGCTCTGAAAGGAGCGTTGGTTCAACAAGCCGCCTCTCAGCAAGCCAAGGGTGCCATAAAGGGCGCACTTAAGGGAGCACTTGTCCAGCAGGCAGCATCCCAGCAGGCGAAGGGGGCCATCAAGGGTGCTCTTAAGGGAGCATTAGTTCAGCAGGCCGCTTCTCAACAAGCCAAGGGAGCAGTGAAAGGCGCTCTTAAGGGAGCACTCGTTCAGCAGGCAGCATCTCAGCAGGCTAAAGGGGCGATCAAGGGAGCACTTAAAGGAGCACTAGTTCAGCAGGCGGCATCACAACAAGCCAAAGGTGCCGTAAAGGGAGCACTAAAGGGCGCTCTTGTCCAACAGGCAGCATCTCAGCAGGCGAAGGGTGCCATTAAGGGTGCTCTGAAAGGAGCACTGGTTCAACAAGCCGCCTCTCAGCAAGCCAAGGGTGCGATAAAGGGCGCACTTAAGGGAGCACTTGTCCAGCAGGCGGCATCCCAGCAGGCAAAGGGGGCCATCAAGGGTGCTCTTAAGGGAGCATTAGTTCAGCAGGCCGCTTCTCAACAAGCCAAAGGAGCAGTGAAAGGCGCTCTTAAGGGAGCACTTGTTCAGCAGGCAGCATCTCAGCAGGCTAAAGGCGCGATCAAGGGAGCACTTAAAGGAGCACTGGTTCAGCAGGCGGCATCACAACAAGCCAAAGGTGCCGTAAAGGGAGCACTAAAGGGAGCTCTTGTCCAACAGGCAGCATCTCAGCAGGCGAAGGGTGCCATTAAGGGTGCTCTGAAAGGAGCACTGGTTCAACAGGCCGCCTCTCAACAAGCCAAGGGAGCCATAAAGGGCGCACTTAAGGGAGCACTTGTCCAGCAAGCAGCTTCCCAGCAAGCGAAGGGAGCCATCAAAGGTGCTCTTAAGGGAGCACTGGTTCAGCAGGCCGCTTCTCAACAAGCAAAGGGAGCCATAAAAGGCGCACTCAAAGGCGCTCTTGTTCAGCAAGCAGCATCTCAACAAGCAAAAGGTGCCATCAAGGGGGCCCTTAAGGGAGCACTTGTTCAGCAGGCTGCTTCTCAGCAAGCTAAGGGTGCCGTAAAAGGCGCGCTCAAAGGCGCTCTTGTTCAGCAGGCGGCATCTCAGCAGGCAAAGGGTGCCATCAAGGGGGCCCTTAAGGGAGCACTGGTTCAGCAGGCGGCATCTCAACAAGCCAAGGGTGCCATAAAGGGAGCTCTCAAGGGTGCTCTTGTTCAACAAGCAGCATCTCAGCAGGCAAAGGGCGCCATCAAGGGAGCCCTTAAGGGAGCACTGGTTCAGCAGGCGGCATCTCAACAAGCCAAGGGTGCAATAAAGGGAGCTCTTAAGGGTGCGCTGGTTCAGCAGGCGGCATCTCAACAAGCCAAGGGCGCCGTAAAGGGTGCACTTAAAGGTGCTCTTGTTCAGCAAGCAGCATCACAGCAAGCCAAAGGTGCCATCAAGGGAGCCCTTAAAGGTGCTCTGGTTCAGCAGGCCGCTTCTCAACAAGCCAAGGGTGCAGTGAAAGGCGCTCTTAAGGGAGCACTGGTTCAACAAGCAGCATCCCAGCAAGCCAAAGGTGCCGTTAAAGGAGCCTTGAAAGGAGGTCTCGTTCAGCAGTTAGCATCACAGCAAGCGAAGGGTTAAACCTTTATTTGTAAAAATGATCACGTCTATGCCTCGCCGATGGTTTCCCAGAACACAAATGCTCCGTCCGATCATTTCAACGAATATAAAAAATTGTTTATTAAAAACGTTATTTCAGAATGATGCAGAGTATGCATGTTTCTTGCATTAACAATAGACTGTCACGTCCTCCGGTTAGACGCGTCTATTTACAGAACTGGACGTCCGCTTTCTGTGATTTTGGGCTTTCAGCAGCTGCCACGAGCACTCCGATCGCGTGGTGCCATCGTTGCCGTCTTTCTCGCAAGGCGAGACCTCATCCTTTCAACACGATCTCCTCCAGTCTTTCGAAAAATTAGTCAGACTTAACGAAGTCATTCGTACAACTGCTGTCGACCATGGTGAACCACGGGGGCCCGCGATCGATTGCTTCGACGCATACGATAGACCACGTCAGTGAGCCGTTTCGCGATTGTGTAGGGTCCTTCCAGTGTCGATGCAATATGCTTCCCAGTGAAGCAGAATATGTATATTGCTGGGAACCCGACCAACTTGTCCAAAGTCAATTTGTCAAAAGGTCGACTCTTCAAAGGCCAACTCATCAAATAGGGCAATTCGTTGTAGGTTGAAGGATCAACTTGTCGAAGAGGCCATCCAGTGAAAGGGCAACTCATAGAACATTCCTAAAAATCCAATAGGCTGCCTTTCCCTTGTCGTTGCTTGCTTTATATCTTTCGGCCATAAATTAATTTTCTTCCTTTTGTTCGGATTGTGTGCCAGTGAACGCTAGCACAGTAGAAGTGGGAAACTCTGAAGGCACGTTCTCAGAACACTCAGATCAAGCGTTTGTGTCCTATCTCCTCGCACTCTGAAAATTTAGTTTTAGGAGTTTTCGTATTAAAACTTTTGTCACCGCTAGATTGCTCGCACACACCGACGGGAGCTCGGACCATCACATCGTTACTCTTATTCATCACGCGGTCGTGGTGCTCGGAATCCACAGTGGGCGTGAAACAAAAATAGTGCAAAACAGCGGGACACTATTTTGTCGTTTGTCCGGGTCTTCCCCCATCCTGCGCCGCACTATTTTCCCCTTAATATTTTGTTTATGCGTGCATCGGCTCGAGCTAGGATTTTCCTTATTTACGCAGTACCCATTTTGCTCAAAAAACATTATTGGAGAGTAGTACTTTATAGGCAAAAACTAATCATTTATCCCGCACATCGACGACTAAACGAGGACACTGAGGAGAACGTATCGGGGTTATGCGAATTGCTGCCACCATCAATCAGTCAAATAATGTATTCACGTTGGGACACAGATCATAACTGCGATGTTAAAAAAGAGGCGACCAGATATCCTCTTCGACGAACTGCCCCTCGACCAGTTGCCCTATGGCGAGTTGACCTATTCGGCAAGCTGGCCATCGACGAGTTGTCATTCAACTGATGATGTGAAGTTCCGCTGGGCACTGTGTATATCCACTTCACCCCGCAGCCATCTAACTTCAATCGCACCATTTTCGCCACCATTCACCCGAAGACTAGGATCTGGACCCCGCCTCCCGCAAAACACCCGGAAAATGGCATTTCAATCAAAGAATCCCGTAGTATTCTTGCCAACTCTTCTAGCAACCTGACCTCTAAATCTTGGAACGCAACCCCACAGGAAGTTACTGCTTTAAAATCCTTTCGAAACCGCACTGACCTCGTAATCGGGCCAGCCTACAAAGGTGGAGTCGCGGTAGTTTGGCGTAGTGATCTCTACTCCGAGGAGGCTCTCCGACAACTCTCCGTTTCTGATTTTTACGAACACCTTTCCTCTGACCCCACCGCCGATTTTCAAGATAAAATTACAACCACCGCAAAGCTCTTAAATGAAAGCGACCCCCTTCCCCCCGCTGCAAATCGTCTAATCGTTCGTAATCAACACGCCGCCTGATACTACCTAATTACCAAAATTCACAAAGCTGGATCCACTGGCCGACATATTGTGTCCGCCATATCCTGCCCCACTTACTTGATCTCCCCTTTTGATGATTCGGTCCTTCAGCCTATTGTACAAAGACTGCCCAGTTAAGTTAAAGACACACTAGACATCCTCCAACGCCTGTCTAATCTGGCTTCGACCCCCGACACTATCGTCTTCATAATGGACATCACTTCTCTTTACACGGTAATTCCTCACGCCGAAAAACTACAGGCTCTCTCACATTTTCTTGATCAGCGTCCTTCTCAAAACTCCCCGTCTCACGCCGTAATCCGTATCGCCGAACTCGTCCTAACACTAAACGTCTTCCAATTCAACAACTCCCTCTATAGCCAAAATTGTGGTGTAGCGATGGGCACAAAGATGGGTACCTCATCCGCCGACCTTTTTGTCGGCTACGTCGAGCTCTCGTTCTTTAATTCCTTTCCACAACCGCCTTTACAATTCGACGGGCGTTATATTGACGACATCTTTGGTTTTGGCCCCCCTCCCGTAGTTTACCGCTTCACCAATGCACTCTGTAGCGCCCACGCCTCCCTCAAGTTTACCTCCCTGATATCGAAATACTCTGTCAACTTCCTAGACCTAAAAATAACTAGTGACGGTCACAAGCTCCACACCTCTGTGCATTATAAACCCACTGACAGCCATAGCTACCTTCTCTACTCCTCGAACCATCCTAGATCCCAAATCAACTCTATTCCTTTCTCAAAATCTCTCCACCTCCGTAGGATTTGCAGCGACGACATCGATTTGCGTCATCAGCTTAAGACGATGACCACTTTCTTTATTTAACGTAGTTACCCACTCGGTCTTTTGCGCAATGTGAGCAGTCGCGTATGTAACATTTCACGGAACGACGCCCTGTTTCCCCAGCAAGAACTAAACCACCGTGCAACCCCCTCATCTTCACATTCCATTCCTCCACACATAGGCTCGGCAAACTATTCGTGGACGCCACTTGCTACCTCGTAGACTCTAAATTTATTTCTAAAGCACCCGCTTTCACTTACCGTCGACAGCCCCACTTACGATTCCAACCCGCTAAATAGAATCCCTGACAATTACACCTGTAAATCTTATAATCTTATATACATTATTTCCTGCGCACTCTGTCCGATTGTATCATATATATCGGCGAAACCGACCGCCGACTCCACAAACGCTTCCAAGAACACCGCAGAATTGTCACACTTGAAAGAGCGGGCCAAATTAAACATGACCTCTCCACACAGGTATCTAAACACTTCTCCAAAAATCATTCCAAACTCAACATGCGAGTATGCGTCGTCAAATCAAGCTTCCATGTACCCACCTCGCGCAAAAAAGAAAACAGGTTAATTTTTATCAACACGGAATTCCCTACCGGTTTGAACAGGAAACTTTCTTTCGGATATTAGACATTCCCTTTTCCCCCGCTCCCTTCTCTCTCTCTCTCTTTCTCTCTCTCTTGTTGATAATTTGGGTGGTTGCAGGGGGTGCTCTAAACACTCTCCCCCCACCCCCCACATTCTTTCACTTGTTGACTTCAGGCCCCTGGCACCTTACTCGACGGCTTTTCCTCCTCCCTCTCTCCCGTCCCGTCTGCCACGCGTTACCTCCGCCTTTTGTATATACGTTGTATATATATTTTGATCTGTCATCTCCCCTTTTAGTATACCTGAAGAAGATTGTTCGGTCGAAACGTTGCTCCCCTCCTTTCCTCTGGCACATCTCTTTCCCGTCATTCAACAAGTTAGCTTTTCACGGGTTGGTCTAGAGTAGACCCATGTTTCTGGAATTAGCAATATATGTTTCAGTTGCTGAACGTGAGTTTCTTACTAGGGCAACGGAAGCCAACCCCGTGTCCCACGCAGGTCTAGAATCATTTTTACCTCAGTAACAACTACACAATCGAAAACAGTATGTTGTAACATCTGTGGTCTGTGCTTTAAGCCTACGAGATTGTATTTGCTTGAACACAAAATGTAATATCTCAGTAGTTTTTTATGAAAAAGCATCCAGTTCTACCATTATGCTCGCAGCTTGAGGGGGGTTTGGGGTCCCATAACAAACGACAGCAGCCACTTCACGAAAATATCATAATTCAGTCTGTAAAGTATGATATCACAAATTAATATATTTTTCACGCCACACCGTCAAGCCAACATGAAAAAAAAACATTTTCTATGGCTTTATGCAAAGTATGTGCGAAGTTTATTTTTAGGAAGAGCGAAAACATTGCTGCTATGAAGATGCCATTTATTTAGGAATGTTTGAATGTTCTAGCGAAGTAATTGAAGATTATAATTTGTGCAATTTCAAGGGACGAACCATTTCTCTGGAAAACGTGTATTGATAGTGCTTTTATGTAAAGTTAGTTCGAAAGTGCGATATAAAAATTCACAAACCTTGAAGATGGAAAGCGGATTGAATGAATTAGGCTGAACTCATAGAAGTGTTCTACACGAATTACTTTATATTTATGAAATAAGGATTCAGTATGATAGTTATACAGAGCATCCGCAATAAAACGCAATATATTTTTTTAAGTCATAGACTGCTATTTAAGTTTGTCTTTGTAGTTGTCCCCCATACCAAGTGGCAGTAATTCAAATAGGGATTGAACAAGGCGTAGTATATGTTTAGCTTAATATTTACCGGCAAAAAACTTCAGCACCTAGCAACTGCCCCCCTACTTGAGAAAGTGTTTTCGTTAAATATTTAATGTCGTAATTTTATATCATATCTTCAGAGAAGTACACACCAAGAGTTTTGTGTTGTACTATTTCAATTGACGCGTTTCCAATTACTAGGAGATTTGTAATATTTACTAATTTATTAACGGCTCTAAATAAAATTGTTTTTGATTTTAATGTGTTAACTTTTAACCTATTGACATCTGACCAAAAGAAAAAAAATTCTATACGGAAATTTGCCCTTCTCATAGGCTCATCAATATCATTACCGGAAAAACGAAAACTCGTGTCATCTGCATAAATTAAAAATTGAGCTCGATCAGTGATGTTCACTACATCGTTTATTTAAGCAT